GGAGACCCAGGAGACCCAGGAGACCCAGGAGACCCAGGAGACCCAGGGACAGTGAAAGGAAGAGAGAGAGGCTGAGCCTAGTTCTCACAGAATGTGGTAGAAAAAATAAATCCCCCTCCTTCTCCCTCTCCCTCCTCTCTACAATCTCTCTCCTTCCCCCTCTCTCCTTTCCTTTATCTCTTCCCCTCTCCTCCTCCCCCTCTTCCCCTCTCACTCTCTCTCTCCCTTCTTCTCTATCCCTCCCTCTCTCCTTCCCTTCTCCCCTCCTCTCCCTGTTCCCATACCCCCCCCTTCTCACATCTTCTTCCCTCTCCTCACCAGCTGTTTGAACACTGGTTTCCCAGCTGGCAATATTGTGGGAGGTGAAGGGGGGGCTGGAGTCTTTAGCAAGTGGGGCTTGGCTCCAAGAACAGATTTACTTTGAAGAAAACCCCCCATTTTCCCCATCTCTGCTTCCTGCTCTACTGAGATACCAGCCCCACCCACTCCGCCCACTGAGGACTGGCCCTGTGCTTTGACTCCAGACTCCTCTGAAACCATGAACAGAAGCAAAGGTCTCCTCCCTTAGGGCATTTCCATCTGGTGTTGTAAGGACAACAGGACAGACAACCAACCAACTCGCCACGTGACACCCCCCCCCCCCCCCCCCCGCCCCAGTGGATGAGGAGGGCTCCTAGTGACTTGATACAAGAGACCAGCCTTTTCCTTTGGAGTGGAGACTCTGAAAGATGGCCCACCCTCCTCCTCCGCAGCCCAGCCGTTGGCTCACGTCCCGCTGGAGCAAACCCTCCAAGAGGGACCTCAGCTCAGGGGAGAAGGCATCTGGAAGCTGCACGTTCTAGAGAGAGAAGAAACAAATTTCAAAGGTCCATCCTAAGACAGTGGCCTCATACCCAACCCAAGTCAAGGCTGCCCCTTAGGAAGGAGATGGGCCAAATTCACAACAGATTAACATCAAACCTCATATGGTTACTGATTAGTTTTGGCAGGTCTAAAGAGCCTGCAGCCCTGACTTCTTCTGTATGGGGGTCATCTCTTCTTTTATCTGGTGGCCACGTCTGCTCCCCACCATCCGAATCTTACTCTGTTCGTTTGTAAATCCTATCTTTTGCCCCGGCATGTATTTCTGCTCATTTTTTTTTCTTTCAAACTTTCCAGTAGGAATGGCTATCTTCATATGTAATTTTAACTATGTGAGTCTAATGTTATGTAATATTTTTCATGTTACATAATCTATTTTATGTTTTATATATTGTTTTATAATATTTTATATACTATGTTGCTCATGGTTTTGTATCCGTCTTTATCTTTATTTTGTATCCATGTCTATGAATCAAGAAACAGTGAGTATTCAAATAGGTGTGGGTGCGTCACGGAGCCCACATGAGGTAGGAGGGCAGCCTCAGGTGACTGTCCTTGTCTTCCACTTGTCTTCATTGCCTTTTTGCTACACACATCAGGGGGAGGAGTCCCCACATCCTGAGGCCTCTGAGGATTTCCCTGTTCTCACCAGACATTTTGTAGCTCTACTGCTATTACAAATGTAGCAGCAACTGCATCTGATTTGGTGAAGGTTCTAGGAATCAGAACAGGCTCAGGTCTGTGAAGCAAGCTCTTTATCCACAAGGCCATCTCTCCATCCCTGGGGTACCTTATGCTATTCTATGGCACATTTGCGGGACACGGAGTCTCTCCGTCATCATCTTACCACGGTCAGGGTCATGCGGTCTATCTCATGCTTGTCTTTGGTTTTATGCTGCCTGAAGGGGCTGTGGCTGTAGAGATAAGAGACAGTTCTATTAGAACACGGCTTTGATAACCAGCGCAGGCACTGACCAATATTTGGGTAAAATGAGATACGTCTACGTTCAGAGATTGCAAACATTTGCCATTTCTGGAAACAAAGCCTAGCCACGGAATAGACTGGGTCCTGAACAAGCTAGACATGTCATTGGTCCTCGCTGCAGCACAGTGACATTTGTGACAGTAAGATATGCTGCTTCTACCAACATCACCAGCAGAACACAGGTCCCACCCAGGCAGCCATGCTCACTGAGAGGTGAGAACAGTCATCACCACAGTGCAGACTTCTGCAGTCTGGCTCCTGAAACAGCCTAGATCACACCAAAGAGTCCCCAGGTGAGTGTGGATCAGCCTAGAAGCTGGAGTGCCCACCATAAACAGAGCTTCAGTGACAAAGGACCACACCAGCAGACTCAGGTTTGTTTCACCCAGGAGTCGTCAGGAAAGCTGGGGTCTACCATGACCCTGACCACACAAACCTTCCATAACCACACCCACCTGCGGACAATGGGGCTTGGGATGCATGTCTCACAGAGTGTGAGGAACCAAGACCATGGCAGTAGACAGTAAGGTGCCAAATACTGCAGTCGGTTGTCAGGTAAGAGCCCAGTCCCACTTGGTAAGTCCCGAGATGGACTCCCCTTTCCTATGTTGTTTGTATTTCTCCCTCTTGCTTTTTAAGCTATTATGTTAGTATTCTCATACAGAATTGCACTAAACACACTAGGCTGTTTTCAGGCACATACACAATGTTGCCCTGCTCCCTGCTTCTCTCTCTCCTCTTTCTCTGTTCCCCCTTCTTCCCCTCTCCCCAGTTCCTCCTTCTCTCTCCCTGTTCCCCAACTGCCCCCATGTACTTTTCTCCCCCCCCCGTCCCCCAGTTTCAATTCTTTCCTGTAATTTGCACATATATGATTTTTATGTCTCTCTAAAGTCTGGGACCACAATGACAGGACACACATAATGTTTGTCTTTCTGGGACTGACTCGGTTTGCTTTATGGGGTTAGCTCCTGAGCAGCCATTTTACTGCAAACAGCTGAACTTCATTTTCCATCATGGCTGAAAACGGTTCTGTATTGCCTTCATCTATGCCTCTGCTAATGGACACCTGGGCTGCTTCTTCAGTCTAGCTGTGGGTGAGCATGGCTCCATGAGTCTGTGAAATGCTCAGTGTGGAGTTTTGCATAAACATCTGGGAGTGCTATATAGTCATATAACACACATATACACACATTCATACACACACACATACATACACATACATGTACATATACATTCATACACACACATGTGCATACACACATGCACACACACATACATACACATATGCACATATACATACACTTAACATAGACATACACACATGCACATACACACCACAGGTGGGTGGACAGACACACATGCAGACACAAATACATACACACACACACACACACACACACACACACACACACACCAGGAAGGGTCCCTATGCAGCCCAGGCTGTCCTCAAACTCACTTCAATCCTTGTGCCTTAGCTTCCAATGGGCTGACATTTCAAGTGTGAGCCACACCTTTTGTGTCTTTGAAATTCTTCAGAATTGAGCTTTCAAGGGAAATGTTATCACTAAACAGTATTTTAAACTTGCAAGTTAGAACTCGTGGCCTTTTGATGTATTTGAAATTGATGAAGGGCCAGCTAGGGCTGGGGCTTCCTTACAGAAAGGCATGTGTACCCAGTGACCCCGCCCCTTTACAAGTTAAAGATATAAGGCAAAGCAAGATCCCGTGGAAAACATTTTGAGGCTGATTTTCCAGAGTGCAGCAATGCATAGAATTCACGGACCCAGCCCCACTTGCCCCAGGCTGCCCCTTCCCAATGCAGGCAAGCTTCTTAGTACCAGACTTCTTTCTCCCTCTGTGTGTGAGAGAGTGCTCCAGTGTCTCAGCAGAACCACCAAGTAATAGTCATCTCCTGAAAGCACTCATTTGAACAACAACAACAACAAAAATCCCAACAAGGCAAATTGGCACTAACCAAGGATGTGCTGTAATCTTTAAATAGATTTGATTGGAAATATTCTTTTCTCCTTGTTTCCAAGGAGAAAAATGTTCAATTACTGTGTTCAAAAAAAGGAAACGGTGAACCAGGCATGGTGGTGCATACCGGCAAGGGAAGTAGGAGAGGCAGAAAGATCCAGGGTTCAAGGCCATCCTCAGCTACGCAGGCATTCCAGTCAAGCCTAGACTACTCAAGACACCATCAAATAAATAAAATAATAAAAGCCAAGAACACAGAAGACAGCCTTCCCTTGTTCCTGGCGACGCCTTGCTTGGCACCCGTACACTTCACACTCAGATGCTTCTCTTTTGTATAAATCCACAGAAATATCAGCATACTGAGGTCTGGAGAGCGGGATGCCAGTCTGTCTGTCGACCTTCTGTCTCGACCTCACGGGGTTTCTCACGGTTTGAGGGATAGGTGAGGGCTTTGAATTTAAACGTATGTTCATGGCTGTGAGGGCAAAGCCAGCCAACTTGACCTCTGATGCGGTGTGCAGGCCACCCCAAAGTGCTGCTGAAATGTATCAGTTACGTGAGAAGGTAGGGTCTCTCAAAGTCAAGGTCAGGAGGGCTGCAGCCCCAGGAAAGAATTGAGGTTGTTATTCATGGGGCCAGTTAGAAAGGTGAATCTGGCTTCTAGGTCTCTCCTCACTCCCCTTCTCCTGATCTCTCTCACATAGTACCCTGGCCAGGGCCTGTAATGATGGCATAGGAAGTCCCTCAAGTTGCTGACTAAACCCTGGCTTCCAGGAGCATGAGCCCAAATAAATTCTGTCCATTATAATTCTATTATGATTCTGTTTCGGCCGCACAACATAGAGTCAGAGAAAGACCCAGGTCCTTCCTACACCAACCTTCCCACCCATCCCTAGGTCCACAGGTCCCTTGTACAAGTTCAGCGAGTCCACATCTGAGTCAGCGAGCATCATGGGAAAGCTAGGTCTCCAGGTCTTCATCCTTGTGCTGCCTCACGGGTAACACTTGAGTGTCAGAGGCTCGTTCCACGTACATGTGCTGCCAGTGCAGTCTTGATGACTCTTTGTGAACCAAGCCAGGGATTTGGCTATTTCCAAATATGTTAAAAGAGGAAAAACAACCCTCGGATAGTAACATCTCCATTTTGAGGAGTGACACTCAACAGACCCCGGATGGGCAGCCGTCCCCTGATGCAGGCTCTGTAAATAGGTGTCCTGCACTAGGCTGTGCATCAGCACCGAGTGCAGAGACACACTCCCCAGTACCAGGTGGCTTCTGGCCGCAGCAGGAAACGTAGGAGAGGAAGCCCACACCCCAAGCGCTCTTAATTAGATACTGTCGTTAGATAATGCGGCACTGAGCACACCCCCTACACCTGCCAGGAAACCAAGGAGGCCCACACACTCCTACGACAGACGCTTCAAACCCACAGGGTTGACGCTGAACCCAAACCAATATGACATTATGATTAAACACTGCCACAATTTAATTTTAGAATGCGAGAGAGACTGCCTGTCACATCAAATATGCCTTTGGAGTTTGAGCCAATAACAGTAAAACAGCTACAAATGATCCCACCTCCCCCTACAAGAAGAAAGCCAGTAACTCCAGGGGCACTTAACCCCGCCCCCAAGGCCTCAGCCCAGCCCCTATCCTCATGGAAGACACATGTGGGGGGAGGGGCCTTCCCCAGAGGGAGAGTTCTTGGTTCCCACAATTCTGCTGGGGACAGGGACTCTCTTGCTCTCCTGTGCATTTGGATAGTTGAGTAGTGTCCATGCATCCAAGCTATGACAACCAAAGCTGTCCCCAGGGAGGGCAGAGTATCCCTGGAGATTGAAGCCAAGGGTTGCTGGTTGTCTGGCTATGGCTGGCCTAAGATAGGATAGGAAAGGAACAGGCTGCCCCAGGCATGCGGCGGCATTCCTCCAGGCCTAAGCTCTGTCTACTCAGTGTCCTGCCCCAGACACTTTCTCTCCTCAGAGCCAACGAAGGGCAGCTTCAAGGACCCTTGCGAAAGAAGCAGAACAGTGCCAAGCCTCCCCGGGTGCAGATTCATGGGTGGCGTTTACTGTCATTTACAGCTAGGGTAAGGAAGGTCCCCTGCCTAGTTCCTCCACCTTTAAAATGTCTTTATGTGTATATGCACTTTGTTTGCTTGCATGCATCTGTGCACCATGCGCCCACAGCGCCAGCTGAGGCCAGAGAAATGAGCCAGAGTCCCTGGAACTTCAGTTACAGGTAGCCATGAGTTTATATGTAGGTGCTGGGAGTTAAAACAAGGGTCCTCTGTCAGAACAGTGAGTGTTCCTCAGCCCTGAGCCATCACTCCAGCCTCGGTTCCTCCTTCTCAAGACTCACCATGGGACCACATGCATGAAAAGTCCCCAGGAACATTGGTTCAGCCTGAAGTATGCTCTTCCGAGAACAAAACCCTCATCCTGTGCCTGGAATGAATGTCCCTGCATTGTCTGCACAGACTCTATAATGCTCTCATGTCCCACCAATCCTCTGCCACTGAAGCTCACAGCATGGTGCCTTTCTGTGGGTCTCTCGCTTGTGTCTTTGTCCCTCTGACACTATAATGCGGCTTCTGGAATCATCTTACTGCAGATCACGTGGTCCTGTCATCCCTTTAAAAACCCTCAGTCCCCAACACCAGGAAACAAGGCCATCATGATCCATAGCATACACGGAGGCTCTCTCGGGTCTTCTTTGCTTCCTCTAACACTCCCTCTCTGAGAGAGCAGTTGCCACTCACTGGTCCCCAGTGGTGAACTGCACCTGTCCGTGAAACACCTTCTCCATCCTGAGAGCCCCCTCTCCCACACAGAGCTTCCCCCAACCAGAGCGGGTCTCCGATTTCTGAACTTCCCAGCTCTTAGGACTCAGGGGAGCCTCCCTCTTGCTTGCCCTCCTCTCTTCTGCATCAGACAAAGGCCCTCACGTGCTTTAAGTACTCAATAAACGTGTATCAAGATCAAATCACCGGAGTTGGTACTCATTTACTGTTCTTTGTTTGTTGTGTTATACAACTGCCTGGAAAGGCTTTTGAGTAAGCAGCGGAGAGAGAAGCTGGGTGGGAGGATGCATCAAAGCCCATTTGCCAGACATGCCCGAGATTCCTCCTCCAGGTTTGGGAAATAATCAGTAGACAGTGACCTGGAACTAGCTGTGGAGAAGGTCGAACAGTCCTTTGGGCAGCTCAAGGTTTGTACACACAACAGATTCTTCTGTGATGTCTTCAGTCTTATCCTCGTTCACACTCATTCTCCCCAAGTTTGTGTGTGTGTGTGTGTGTGTGTGCGTATGTGTGCAAGTATGCTGGTGTGTATGTGCACATGTGCATGTGTGTGTTGGGGGCATATGTGTGCAAGTATACATGTGTATATGTGCACACATGCATGTGTGCATTGGGGGTGTGCATGTGTGTGTACATGTGTGTGTGTACATGTATGCGTGCAGGTATGTGTGTGTACATGCACAAATGCATATGTGTGTTAGGGTGTGTGTGCATGTGTGTATGTGTACACACACGTGTGTGCATTGGGTGGGTATGTGATTACATGTATGCATGCATTTGTGTGTGTGTATGTGTACACATGCATGTGCATTGGGGGGTGTGCATGTGTGTGTGTGTGCACGTGTGCATGCAGGTATGTGTGTGTACATGCACACATGCATGTTTGTGTTAGAGTGTGTGTGTACATGTGTGTATGTGTACACACATGTGTGCATTGGGTGTGTGTGCAAGTATGCATGTGTGTGTTGTGTATATGTGCACACATGCATGTGTGCATTGGGGGATGCATGTTAGGGTGTGTGCACATGTGTGTGTGTACACACGAATGTGTGCATTGGGTGTGTGTGTGCAAGTATGCATGTGTATACATGCATACATAAATGCATGCATGTGTGTTGTGTGTGTGTGTGTGTGTGTGTGTGTGTGTGCACATATGCCTGTTTGCACTGGGGGGCATGAAGGTCAGAGGACGACTTTCAAGAGTTGGTTCATCTCCTTCCACCATGTGGGTCCCAGGGATTGAAGTCAGGTCCTCAGGCTTAGTGACAGGTGTCTTTACCTGCTGAGCCACCTTGCCAGGCCAGTCTTTGTCCTGTTTTCATGAGATGCTGTTTTTAATGGCCGTAGCCTGGCATTTTGGTCACCCAAGCTGTGCCCACTCTCTGGCTTCCAGCTTCTCCTACATCTCTCTACAACTGTCCCTAGGACCACCCTCAGAGGCCTCTGGGCCTGTGACAAAAACCTCCCACCGCAGGAGACAGGAGACGAGGACTCTGCCTAGGACTTTTATCTTCTCTTTCAGACAGACTCAGATTAAACTGTGGCTCTGTAAAACTCGCCCTGCGCGATGCGCACATCACAGCTGCGAGGGATGAGGGTGATAATTAGACAAGCTGACTCGTCAATCGCAAAGTCACGTGATCACGGACCCTTCTCCAGGCTACCAGCATGGGTTGTTTTACAACGGGACAGCAATGACGAAGCGAATCCTAGCCTTGCCAGGCTTGCAGGGTTTTCCTGGGGTACTTTATTGAGAACTCTTTTATCTTGTATCCTGTGAGTCAACTTGAATTCTCGAAGCTCAGACTCTGCATCTCCAAAGAGGACTAGAGGGGGTCCTGGGTGTCTCCCAGAACCTGCATTTACAGTAGTGCAGGGGTGGGGGGGGGGGGAGAGAAGGAATCCTCCCTGGGAAATGACTTCCTCTGGCTCGCATAAATGCTAATCAGGTCAGCTAGTCTGCCCACAAAAATTAAGGGCGCCTGGTCTCCACCAACATGGTACTGGTAATACAATTATGGAATAACAGACCCGACTTTCTCAGCGGTAATAGAATTTTAGATCCCGGGGGAATACAACGGGCATAGCAGAATTAGATTACGGAAGCACCCAGGATGTACTGAGTCGTACTTGGAGCCAAGTTGGGAGGGCCGTGGAGTACAACAGCTCTTCAAATGCACCAGATAGTTCATACGGCGGCCACGGTGCATTCAATGAGTTATCCCAGGGGTGCAGTGAACCCTCAGCAGGCTGTGGAGCCAGGCTTCTTGGCAACTGATAAGAGGGAAGTCTGGGTGGGAAATGGGGACAAGGGCCTTTCGTAGACCTTTTAGTGAGAATGTCTGGGCTCTGCTAGACTCACTCAAGGAGAAATGTGAACTTTTCGGGAAGGGCTACTTTGGCTCTTTCACACACACACACACCCCCACAACTCCCCAGATGCTCAAGGCTCAGGAATCACAAGAAGTCATCTGTCTGTAGGTGGGGTCGGGACAAGGAGCCCCACCCCTTTCTCCAATCATCTGCACTTAATTCTTTTGCCTAGTTCCAGAACAAAGCCCTCCTGGTTCGCTCTATACTTTTAGCTTAGATCTACTTTAAACTGTATGGCCCCATGGCAATGAAACAAAATATGAAGCCGCAGGCTTTGAGCTATGAGCCCTCAGGACAGAAGCCAGGCTGAGTTAAACAGAAAAATGACTGTGACCATCACCTACATCAGTGTGGCTTAAAGGATGCTCTGCTTTAACAAGACATCTTGGTAGTAATTAGGTGATCTCCCCATCCCTATACTGAGGATGGAACCTAGGGCTTCATTTAAATGAAGTGAGTCCTCTACCACCGTACTAACCTCCACCCAGGAATCTCCACTTGATCCAAGCATCCCCAACACAGGATGTCTGTGTTCCACTCACCCCCGCAGGAGTTTGAAGAGCATGCAGCCGAGAGAGAACCAGTCAGCGCTGCTGTCATAACAGGTCCCCTTCTGCAACACCTCGGGAGCCATGTACCCATGAGTGCCCCTAAGGAAGGAAGAGAGATGGTCACAGGAGTACACTCACCCTGAAATCAGAAGGATGACCATTTCGAGAGGGCAGTGACTGAGCACAGAAGAGCAAGAACACATACTGTACTGAGCGGCCTGCGGGAGGCAACTACGAGCTCATATAGGTCAGGAAGGAGAAAGTGAGGGCAATTTCACCCCACTGACCACCAGGGTGAATTCAACTGTTCTGGTCTGCTAGGTGGTGCCCATGAAGACCCAAGAGTTCATACGCTGTGTCCCAAGGTTTGTCCAAGGGACCCAGCCAATCTGTTTTCAGATTGAAAGGGCCCTGAGGGGTTGCAGATGGCCAAGATTCAGCATCACAAGGCCCAGGAGGTGAACTGACCTCACACAGGACAGGAGGTGGGTTCAAATCCCAGGTTCCCTGTGGCGAGTGGTACTGACTTGCTTAGACACACGGAGGATCGGTTTGGAAACCACTGGCCAGTAAGGATCATGGGCGATCACTGGAGCCCACAAGAGAGGCTTGAAGAAACTACATAACACATGATGTGGGTGCTGGCAGGTCACAGCTGGCCTGGCTCTCTGCAAGGCACCAGCATAACATCAAGAGAGCCATGCCGGGAAGAGTGGAGACCCCTGCCAGGGCTTCTGGAAACATTTTCTGGGAAAGTTGAGTGTCAGCCTTGCCTGGAACCCCTTTGAGGTGACTTTTAGGTGGTATCCATGACTGATCCCCAATTCGGGAGTGGAGGGACACCCTCTAGAGATGTCAAACAGGCTGATGGGGATGGGTGGGCTCTGCAGGTGTTCTCTAGAGTCAACCAGAGCCACTGCCACTGGGGTTCCCCTCACTGGCCTGCACGGCAGCCAGATGTTCACTGATGGGCAGCTGGACCACTGTGGCTACGGGAGTACATCTCAGAAGGACACGGTGGCACAGGTAAGATCTGCACTCCTCTATAAAGTAAATACAGACTCAAACTAGTCCTGCCAACGTACTCAATTCTGGAAGTTTTTCTTTCTGTCTGCTAGGGCTCCTCCACAGATACATTCACGGCAGCCATAACCTGGGAGCCTGCGGCCCAGGGGACAAGAGATGGTACTCGAGATTCACATCTGTGGCTTTGAACAACAACGACAAAAAAAAACAGGGGTGGGGTAGGGGTGGGGCATCCTGGCTACATATCCTAACCTGGGCCCATCTGTGAAGGCAGTCGACTTCAGAGCCTGGGACAAGGAGTTTCCTCTATCTGGAGTGCAGCCATTTCCACGGGACAGAGGAATCACAATTGTGGCCCCACTGTGCGCCTGTGACTCAGCCCCACTGTGCGCCCTCGACTCAACTTCTTTTGTACCTTAATCTGCACACTGTCAGCAATGGCTATTAACGCCCATAATGCATGGGGTTTTGTGCAGACACCATACTGAATGCAGATGCCTAGGCACACCTGAAACAGCTGAGATCTGGTCCATGCCACACACTCAGTCTTGCTGGATTCCCTGGCTCCCCAGTAGTCCCTATCTGCCTGCGGTGCTGCCAGCTGCCAGGTCCAAGTGGGTACACAGACTCATGCCTGAAACCGTCACTGGAGGGCAACATCCCCATCCTCTCCTTGCTACAAGAGAGAATAGATCTGACAGGAGGGAAACAATTCAAACCCAGGTCTATGGGCTCCAGAGCCTTCATCCAGCCCTAGCCACAAAATGCCTCAATATAAAAAAAATTAAAAAGACATGCTCTCTATGCCTTTATCTGTGTAAAGCGGTGGCCCTGGTACCAGCATTTAAACCAGGAGTTTGGTATCCTCAGTCCAATCTATTTGTGAATGCTGTTTGAGGGGTTCAGTATCAGCTGTCAACATAGAGAATATGGAGTACCTGGGAGACAAGCCACTAGGCACACCAGGGAGGGATCACTCCCTCTTGGGCATGCCTGTGACTGTACTGGTTAGGTTAACTGAGGTAGGCAGACCCACACTAAAAGTGGGCGGCACCATTCCCTAGGCTTGGGTCCCAGGCTGTATTAAGAGGACCAAGTGAGCCGAGTGTGTGTTGTTTCCTGCCTGGATGTGATGCGTCTGGCTGTCTCCAGTCCTACAGCTGGGATACCTCTGCCAAGACGCCTTTTAACCCGGAATTATGAACCAGACAAACCCTTCTTCCTGTAAGCTGCCTTTTGCCAGGGCATTTTATCACAGCCAAGGAAAAGATGCCAAGACACTGTTCAAATACAGGTCCTCAAGAAGCAGGCAGAACGGCCTCCCTTTGGAGCTAGTGTGACTCTCAGGACGGAGGCAGCCAGGCTAGTGGGATAAACAACCCTATGCACAAAGCTGAGGTTCTGGGAAGATGAACTCTTACAACCTCTCCTATTCAAGCTGTAAGTACAGTAAACTGAAAACATTAGCACACCAGAGAGTGGTGGCATTAAAAATTCAAAAGCATCTCTCAAAAACGGCCAATGAACCGCCTGGGAGAAGTGCAGGTAGCCATGCTATGGCAGAACATGGATGCTTTCAAAGAGTCTTGTCCCAGCTTCCGTGCAAAGAACAATGTACTCACAAAAACTGTGGTGTTTAGTATCGCCATACGAACCCGTGACTGGGGCTTTCAAAGGCGGTTCTGATTTAAGGCAGCCCCTGATAAAGCACCACAAACCCACCCCTTCAGTTCTAGCTACAAAAGAAGGGTCTGTGGTTTATTCTTCACACAGACACATGGAAGGAGAGCCTGGGGACTTATCTCCAGAACCACTCAGCAGAGAGAACACTTGCTCATAGGATAGCAGAGTGTAATTGTAAGACATTCAGTATTAGAAGGAGATATTTTAGTTGGTGTCTGTGTGTACTTATGTAGGGGGGCATTCTCAAGCTATGGTTTGCCTGTGGAGGTCACAGAACAACTTACAGGAGTCAGGTCTCTCCTCCTATCATGTGGGTGGCCAGGGACTGAACTCAGGTGCTTGGCTGCGTGGTAACAAAGTTGTCTATCCAGTTAGCCATTCACAGTGGAGAAGGAAACATTGTAAACAAAGCAAAATGGGAGTTGGGGTGTGGCTCACCAGAATGCTTCTCACAGCTTCTTCAGAGCTCAGAGCTTAGCTTCTCTAAGCTTTTACCTAGAGGTAGTCTCAGGCCAGGTCACCTGCACTTAGCATTGCCACCACTACACAGGGTTCTGAGCCCTCAGAGCTTGCTCAGGGCTGCAGCCTCAAGACATACTTCCCTTGTGGCAATGAACTGGTTCACCCTCCTGGGCTAACAGCATGACCTGTCAGTAAGTAGGTGGCTGGCTCCCAGCAGTTCCTGATTTCTCAGAAGTGCAGCAGAGGGAGATGGGAAATGGGTCTCGAGCCCTCCCTGGGGCATTCCGGCCAGCAGTCACATGCCTCTCTAGGGCAAGGGCTCTGACACACACTCTGGCAATGGCATAAACCAATTTATTAGCTTTATGGAAGAAGAGACCAAAGGTCAAAAAGGTGAACAGGCTCACAGAGTCTCACAGGCAGTTTCTGCAGAACCAGATCCCATCCCATGAACCAGATAGTTCCTGAGTAGGGAGGGGGCGGCTCCCCAGGAGCCAAGTCCATCCCCACAGACCTTGACAGGAAGCACTCTGCCTTTATCACTGCTCCTATCACCTTGATACTGAATACAGAACATCCCAGCTGGTGAGGGAGCCAGGTGGGGGGGCGCAAGTGGCCAGGTGGTACTGCCGGGACACAGGTGCCATGGTGCGGAAGGGAACACAGCAAAGGCAGCAGACGTGATGCGGCAAACGTGATACTCACACGCTGGCGTGAGGCTTCTTTTTGGAGAAATCGCAGGCAAGGCCAAGATCCGATATCCTCACATGCCCGTATTCATCCAAGAGAATGTTCGCAGGCTGAAAGGAATAGAGGTTCAAGAGTCCCCAAGAGTCCCCAAGAGTCCCCCAAGAGCTCCAAATGGTACACCCCAACATCATTTCATCATGGATGGCATGACCTTCAAGGGGTGTACCCCAATATCACTTCACCATGGTCACTGTGATCTCTACAGGGTGTACCCCTATGTCATCACTGAGAACTCTGGTGTCCTCAAACCTAGGCAGCAGGACAAGGAACCCAGCTCCACTCTGCAGACTTCAGTGGGAAGGAGCTCTGAGAGTGAACCCCCTACCCCCTCACCCTCCGCCCATCCCACTCCCCTGCCCCCTGTCACAAGAGAGTAACACCCGGTTGTGGGTGGGGGCAGGAGGGTTCCCACCATAGGCTTGAAGCATGCCCTCCCCATTACTCTAAGAGCTTTGATGTAACCAACACAGACATCCTAGCAATGGGGCACAGGCTTCATGCCACCTGCAGACTGCAAGGTTTCAGAGAATATGGCTGCAACAACCTAGACAGGGAGGAATCTTGCATAGATGTGTAGCTGCTGACCCAAGGGCTGGAAGAATCCCAGAGCACCAGGCCAGTCCTGATGGACAGCCATCACTGACCAGGGCCCTACCAACTGGATCTGAACCTGAGTCTGATCTAATCTGTTTCCATCCAGATTCAATTTGGTTGGTGCCAATCACAGAAAGAAAGAACACACCCACCATCCACCCACTCACACCCACCCACACCCACACAAACACACAAACACCTGCAGTCACCTCAGGAATATCTTTCTGCCGTGGAACATCTATTGTTTCGCCCAAAATAAAAATCACAGCAAGCTCTTAACAACACTAAAACATGAATAACCATGAGTGGCTAGAATTGATTTGAATGAGAATTAAATGACATCATTGCCTGTTAATAGGAATAGGAGAAGCCATTTCCAGGGTTTTCAATTAAGACACAGGGGCAGCAGCCCTGGGCTGTCTGTGTGTATCTGCTTCCTCGTAAAATTTATGAACAACTAAATGTGCCACGGGCCAACCAGCATCTGGCTATTTCTAGTTCAATAAAGAAAACCATCTTTGCTTCTGTATGTTCACATAAAAGCTAAGACTAATTATTTTAACTGCCCAAAACACTTTGAGTTTCACAGAAGTATTAAAAAAAACTTATGTGCCCAAACCAAAAGACAGCATTTTTTGCATTTTTCCTTCCTACATTTTAACTAGACTATTAGTAGCAAGGCCCAGTGGCCCAGTGTTGTTATTGAGCCACTCAGGAGGTTGAGGCAGGAGGATCTCAAGTTCCATGCTGCCCTGGGATACCTAGTGAGGCCCCTGCCTCAAACACACACACACACACACACACACACACACCCCACACCTTACAGAACCTAGGAGAAAGGAATATGACTTCATTCCAGCCCCATTGCATGTTTAGATCATTCCAGAAGGGAACAGAAATGAGAGTCAAATACTCCAGGTATTTTCTCATCCCGTGGGTAAACTGTCATCCACTTGCAGTTACTTACCTATCTTACACAGGTGTGGAGGTTTGATCTGTTGCTGTGTACTGTGATGCTAAGTGCAGGCCCCCCAAGACTTGGTTGCCCCAGAGATGAGATTCTGCACATAGACCCATGGAATACTGTGCAACTCTGACCCCAAGTTATTTCTGATTGGTGAATAAAAATGCCAACAGTCAATAGCTGGACAGGCGAGATATAGGTGAGATTTGGGGGCTCCCGGGCTTGAAGATCAGAGGAGAACCATGAGAGGGAGAAGAAGGTGAAGGAGGAAGGAGTAGATGCCACTGGTTAGGAGTCAAGAAAACATGGTCCTGAGGGCTAGCCAACTGGAGGTAAGAGCAGCCCAGATGAAATATGTAATAATTCAGGGTTATCGACAGGAAAGTAGACTCTAACAGCATAGAGGGCAGGCAGCTGCCCAGCTTTGTGCTGTTTAAGGCTTATTGTAAATACAAAGGGTGTGTGTGCCTTTTATCTAGGAACTAAATAATCAAGGCAGAGTAGAAACTCTGGATTGGGATTTAAAAAACTCTACAACACACAGGTGTCTAATATTCTGTCAGGGTCTCTGTCCTGGATTACCTCACTTGTTTGCTTGTTTTGTTTTTGTGTTTGTGTGCCTGTGTGTGTGTGTATGTGTGTGGTTTTTGCCAACTTGACACAAGCTGGAGTCATCGGAAAAGGGAGAACCATAACTGAGAACCCGTTTCCATAAGATCAGGCGGTAGACAAGTCTGTAGAGCATTTTTGTAGTGATTGTTGGGGTGGCCCTGCCCATTGTGGGTGGGGTCAGCCAATTGTGGGTTGGGCCAACCAATTGTGGGCGGGGCCATCCCTGTGCTGGTGGTCCTGAGTTCTATAAGAAAGCAGGCTGAGCAAGCCATGAGGAGCAAGCCAGTAAGCAGCACCCCTCCATGGCCTCTGAATCAGCTCCTGCCTCCAGGTTCCAGCCCTGACTTCCTCAATGATGGACCACAGGTTATAAGATGAGATTAAACGCATTCCTCTCCACGTTGGTTTTGGTCATGGCAGTTTGCCACAGTGACAGAGTCCCTCACCTCAGTAAGGCAGTCCCTCTTTTTTTTTCCCCTCGACTGTCTGTGTCACACGTCCATGTACCATGTCACCATGGACACACAAGCAACCACCCAGGTCCTCCCAGTCTGGAGAACCCATCTCAAAACACACCTCTAGAGTGCAAGGTCACAGTGCTCGGAGGCATTGCTTCTCAGCCCTGGGACAAAGACAGATGTGAGCACAGCTCAGGGAGTAGCCACCATGAGATGTCCCCAGGCTGAGCTACACTGTACAACCCATCCTTTTCCCTCCAACCAGACTTGTCCCACAGGAGTCAGGACTGTATCTTTATCTTGGCTCACAGTCATCTTTATCCCTCTCAAGCTCCTTGGTAAGCAGGCTACTGAACCACAATTATATATACAAAGTGGGAGACACCCAAAAGATTCTGTGACCAGCATCTCCTTTATTGTGTAACTCCTTGACTTAGTATGAACTGCACCCAGCACCTTAGGAGGCACTGAGGTTGCCATGACAATGGAGAATGGACACAGGTACCACCCCTCCCCCATGTAATCATACAGTGAACTACTTTGCCAGGGCTGAGACAGAGTTGGGAAGACAAAGATAGGGCCCTGCTACAAAAGGGGCTCCCAGAGGTCCTTGGGCAGGCTCTGACTGTAGGACTTTCAGGTCTCAGTTTGAACTTAAAATTGAAAGAACTGCTGGGCGGTGGTGGCGCATGCCTTTAATCCCAGCACTTGGGAGACAGAGGCAGGTGGATTTCTGAGTTCGAGAGTTCGAGGCTAGCCTGATCTACAGAGTGAGTTCTGACAGCCAGGGCTACACAGAGAAACCCTGCCTCGAAAAAACAAAAACAAAAAAAACACAAAAATTGAAAGAATCCCACTGTCTCAGGACATATCCCATGAGGGGCACATTACTTAGTCAGAGGACACTTGCTAGATTAACATTCAGAGGAAAAAGGGAGAGGTTGATTAACATTCCTCAGACCACAGGGGAGGGAACCCACCTGCAGGTGAGGAAGGCCCAGAGCACACAGACTCATTCCAGGACACTCCTTGTCATAAACTGAGTCACCTAGAGACCGGACCTGGAAAGGTCAACCTTTGTGGTTTCCCTCATCAACTCTGTATAAAAACTGTTCCCAACTTTGGCTCAGGGTTCCTCTTGTCTTGTGTACAGGGGAACCCAAGTATACTGGTTAACATCTTATCATCAATAAACCTCATGTTATTTCAGCGAATCCCGTCCATGAGTGTTTCTGGGGGAAGCGCATCCCCCTGGTTTTGGATCTTAGAGTCCGATGGACCCTCCTCACCTTCAGGTCTCTGTAGACTACGAAGCAGGTGTGCATATGTTCGAGGCCCAGGATGATCTCGCTGGCGTAAAACCGCATCTCCTTCTCAGAAAACACCCCGTGCTGGGAGAGGTGATAGTGCATGTCACCGCCTGCAACCAGAGACCCGGAGGGCGAGTCACAGACGCTCATCGAGAGGAGACTGAGGTCATCCCACGTAACACAGGTGCTCCTCCTTTCGGCCTTAACATATGTCTTTGATTTCTGTTAATTTAGCTAGAGGCATTGATTGTTACAGAAACAACTTCAAGGGGATGATGGGGAAGACCTTGTCTCATGGATGGGACAGAGCCACCACTGGGGTTGTGGCTCAACAGCCAGTGACACCACTAAGCGTGGGCCAGCCAGCAGAACCTCAATTATTTAAACCCCACCCAGTAACTGAACCCACCCATTGTGTCTGCTCCTTGACCTGCCACTGTTAGAAAACAAAAGCCAATGTAAACCTTAAACTGGCCCCTTGAAGGGAGATTGGATGCTGATGCTGTCCAACAGTGAAGGGTAGTTGACAAAACCCAGGGCGGTGGGGGATCCAAGAGCCCTCATAAAACAGTCGCCCTGGCCACATGTTCAGAATTGTTTGTAAGGAGGTATTAGGAAAAGGAAATAGCTTCGTGGCTTCAAGGTCATAAGGCCCAGGGTGGGAAGGAGATAGATGGTAAAGGCTGCACATGTCCGATGTTGATACCCTGGACTTCATGAAGCTCTTTCCTGCTCATGCATACACTGAGACACTCAATAAAGGGCTCCAAGCTCTTTCCAGTGGGCCGGCCTGGCCCTGGCAGGGAAAGGGCCTCTCTGCCTTCACCCTTCATCCGTCCATGACCATGGCCCTTTCTGCGCACACATACACACACAAACACATACACACCATATCCACATATATACCACACACATTCACAAGCACACACACCACACACA